CTTCGTCATGGGATGAAATAACTGATTTGAAATTAGATTTAAGAAAATAGAATCGGGTGCTTCTAGATAACCGAGCTGTCCTAAACTAACGAAAGGCTGCAGTTTGGGGTAAATGCGAAGTCTGACAGCAGAACAAGCGGACAATAGGTTGCTTCTAAGGAAGGAATCTCAAGCTGATATGATCCAGGAAGTTTATGATCAGATTGCATTGTAAAGCCATGGTGATTGGGAGTCAGGCTGACAGTGTGTCCTACACTATCAGTAAGATCTTTTTGTTCTTTAATACACACAGCAGAGTGTATTAAAACCTTTAACATGACCTTTCAGCCAAAAGCACTTCTGATGTGCTCGCAACGCCGCAATGCACATAGCTGGCAGTGTACATAAGGCTACTACGAGTACACACTTTACAATATACAGACACATATCACAATATGTACATACAAGTCACAGTACAGACAACCATTGCACACAAATGCAACTCATAGGCAATCCATACACAGAAAGCTCACAATATACACAATCCCAGGTCAAACAATCCGCAGAATACACAGTAATAGTAAACACAGTTCTTAGTATACAAACATAGCTCTGAACGTACCCAGTGCAAGCGCATACATAGCTCTTAGTGTACCAAAAGATACGCACAGCTCTCAGTATAGCCAATGATAGTACGCACAGCTCTCAATATTAATATTATGTTATTTATATAGCGCCATCAAATTCCGCAGCGCTTTACAATGGGTGGACGAACAGACATGTAGTTGTAACCAGACAAGTTGGACACACAGGAACAGCGGGGTTGAGGGCCCTGCTCAATGAGCTTACATGCTAGAGGGAGTGGGGTAAAATGACACAAAAAGGTAAGGATAGTATTAGACTAGTGACAGTTGCAGAAGAGGAATCAGTCAGGAGCTATTAACAGTGTATTTGATACGCTTTTATGAAGAAGTGGGTTTTTAACAATTTTTTGAAGGAGTGGAGACTGGGTGAGCATCTAACGGAGGAGGGAAGCGAGTTCCACAGGAACGGTGCAGCCCTCGAGAAATCTTGAAGGAGAGCATCAGAGGTGTGAGTACGGACAGAAGATAGACGTAAGTCTTCAGCAGATCGTAAGGGCCTAGATGGGACATACTTGTGTATAAGGGAGGATAGATAGGTGGGAGCAGCATTATGTAGCAATTTGAATGCAAGAACCAGAATTTTAAATTGAGCTCTATATTTTATAGGAAGCCAATGAAGGGACTGACAGAAGGGTGAGGCATGGGAGGTGCGGGCAGACAGGAAGATGAGCCTCGCCGCCGCATTCATTATGGACTGTAACAGCGCTAGTTGGGAGCACATAAGACCACTGAGAAGCGGATTACAGTAGTCAAGGCGTGAAAGGACAGTGGAATGGACCAACACCTTCGTCGCATCTGGCGTTAAGTAGGAGCAGATGCACGCAATGTTTTTGAGATGGAAATGACAGGATTTGGCGATAGATTGAACATGAGACTTGAGAACACCTAGGCAGCGAGTCTGCGTGGTGGAGCCGATGGTAGCACTGTTGACTTGGAGGGAGATAGACACAGGAGTAACAACACTTGAGGGAGGAAAGACTAGAATTTCAGTTTTGGTCAAGTTTAGTTTAAGGAAGTATAGCCAAAGACAGTACGCCCAGCTCTCAGTATAGCCAAAGACAGTACGCCCAGCTCTCAGTATAGCCAATGACAGTACGCCCAGCTCTCAGTATAGCCAATGACAGTACGCCCAGCTCTCAGTATAGCCAATGACAGTACGCACAGCTCTCAGTATAGCCAATGACAGTACGCACAGCTCTCAGTATAGCCAATGACAGTACGCACAGCTCTCAGTATAGCCAATGACAGTACGCACAGCTCTCAGTATAGCCAATGATAGTACGCACAACACAGTAGAGCCAGTGATAGTACGCACAACTCAGTAGAGCCAATGATAGTACGCAAAACTCTCAATATACCCAATGATAGTTCACAAAGCTCTCAGTATACCCAGTGCTAGCACACACATCACTCAGTGTACCCAGTGCTAGCACACACATCACTCAGTGTACCCAGTGCTAGCACACACATCACTCAGTGTACCCAGTGCTAGCACACACATCACTCAGTGTACCCAGTGCTAGCACACACATCACTCAGTGTACCCAGTGCTAGCACACACATCACTCAGTGTACCCAGTGCTAGCACACACATCACTCAGGGTACCCAGTGCTAGCACACACAGCTCTCAGTGTACCCAGTGCTAGCACACACAGCTCTCAGTGTACCCAGTGCTAGCACACACAGCTCTTAGTGTACCCAGTGCTAGCACACACAGCTCTCAGTGTAGCCAGTGCTAGCACACACAGCTCTCAGTGTACCCAGTGCTAACACACAGCTCTCAGCGTACCCAGTGCTAGCAAACACAGCTCTACACACAGCTCTCAGTGTACCCAGTGCTAGCACACACAGCTCTCAGTGTACCCAGTGCTAGCACACACAGCTCTGTGTACCCAGTGCTAGCACACACAGCTCTGTGTACCCAGTGCTAGCACACACAGCTCTGTGTACCCAGTGCTAGCACACACAGCTCTGTGTACCCAGTGCTAGCACACACAGCTCTGTGTACCCAGTGCTAGCACACACAGCTCTGTGTACCCAGTGCTAGCACACACAGCTCTACACACAGCTCTCAGTGTACCCAGTGCTAGCACACACAGCTCCACACACATCTCAGTGTAGCCAGTGCTCACACAGCTCTGTGTACCCAGTGCTAGCACACACAGCTCTCGGTGTACCCAGTGCTAACACACACAGCTCTCAGCGTACCCAATACTAGCACACACAGCTCTCAGCGTACCCAGTGCTAGCACACACAGCTCCACACACATCTCAGTGTACCCAGTGCTAGCACACACAGCTCTCGGTGTACCCAGTGCTAGCACACACAGCTCTCAGTGTACCCAGTGCTAGCACACACAGCTCTCAGTGTACCCAGTGCTAGCACACACAGCTCTCAGCGTACCCAGTGCTAGCACACACAGCTCTCAGCGTACCCAGTGCCAGCACACACAGCTCTCAGCGTACCCAGTGCCAGCACACACAGCTCTCAGTGTACCCAGTGCCAGCACACACAGCTCTCAATGTACCCAGTGCTAGCACACACAGCTCTCAGCGTACCCAGTGCCAGCACACACAGCTCTCAATGTACCCAGTGCTAGCACACACATCACTCAGTGTACCCAGTGCTAACACACAGCTCTCAGCGTACCCAGTGCCAGCACACACAGCTCTCAGTGTACCCAGTGCCAGCACACACAGCTCTCAGTGTACCCAGTGCCAGCACACACAGCTCTCAGTGTACCCAGTGCCAGCACACACAGCTCTCAGTGTACCCAGTGCCAGCACACACAGCTCTCAGTGTACCCAGTGCCAGCACACACAGCTCTCAATGTACCCAGTGCTAGCACACACAGCTCTCAGTGTACCCAGTGCTAGCACACACAGCTCTCAGCGTACCCAGTGCTAGCACACACAGCTCTCAGCGTACCCAGTGCCAGCAAACACAGCTCTCGGTGTACCCAGTGCTAGCACACACAGCTCTCGGTGTACCCAGTGCTAGCACACACAGCTCTCGGTGTACCCAGTGCTAGCACACACAGCTCTCGGTGTACCCAGTGCTAGCACACAGCTCTCAGCGTACCCAGTGCCAGCACACACAGCTCTCGGTGTACCCAGTGCCAGCACACACAGCTCTCGGTGTACCCAGTGCCAGCACACACAGCTCTCAGTATACACAGAATAGAGTGCCACACACACACACACACACACAGGTTTTGTTTTGTTTCCTTGTTACAATGTTTAACCAGCACTTCCTGCACACGGGAGGTTCGGAGGGGCGGGAGGGGGTACTCAGCACAGGTACCCAGATCCCCCTACATCCCCCATTCCTGCAGGCACCTGAGTCAGCTCTGGGCAATTCAATGAGTTTCCTAATCAGAGTCTTAGAATACAAATAAAGGATAGAATGTCAGATTGGAAAGTAACACTGAGCCAGGCGTTCCTGCTGTCCCCTCCCCCCTTACCTGTATGTTAGTGGAGGTAAAGGTGATTTCTGTCCCTGGAACCAGCAGCTCTCAACCCAGCAGCTGCTCTCTCCAAACTTTCTCAGCAAACTGATTGCTTCAGCCAAGACTGGGAGTGCAAGGGGTGGTGCTCACAGCCGCCCCCTAGGGCATGGCTGAGAGAATGCAGGCCAACAATGTCATCTACAATCTGCCAAACTCTGTCACTCTATCTATAGCTTGGTTTCTGCTGAGAGCTGTTTGAGGCTGATTGATATTTATTTAATTTCACTTTCAGTATCACACATTGCTACAGTTCTATTAATAAATAGTGGAAATTGATCTTTACATTCAGTCCCAGTAAAAGCAGGAACTCTGGGGCAGTTGATCCATGTCACCATTTAACACCGGGGTAGTTAGTGAACACCTAGCCTAGGATGTTAGACAGACCAGGCCTACAATACAAGTTATGGGGTCAAGGTCCCAGTTACAGATAGCAGATCCGCCATAGATTGACCAGTTTTCAATTCTTTGTGCTGTTGGGCTCTACATGAAAAGTACTGTTCTTTAAAAAGTAGACTTTATGTGGCACCCAGGGGAAGCCAGTTTGTTAAATCCCAGGATATAATGCCAATGCCAGGCAGCATGCGAAATCCACAGATATAATCAGATTCCCAGCGACTTGTTGAACAGAAAAATATTATTTATACTGTTGAGCAGTGTATGATAAGTGCTGTCTTGGAGTATGTAGCATTGAGATGCTGCTATACTAAGGCTAATTCATTATTCAATGTTGGATCCTGATTTTTCTCTTGCAGTACATGAATGCTACATGGCATAGCGCAGCACACCTCATTGACAGCACATCAGCATGTAGTTTGATATGTATAAAAAATTGATTTCACACCAACATTTTGTTCCAGTTTCCATTTGCATCAATATCGCACTTCAGCCCCATCATAAGCACTTCAGCCCCAATGAACCCAAGACCGTCCGTCTGCCTGTGCAATGTGGGAGTTGAAGTCAGTAGTATAGTTTGTCTGTTTTTTTGTTCACCTTGTCCATGAAATTCTGCTGTCAGAAGCACAGCGACTTAAAAAAAAAATCTACGTAATATTAAACAGGCGATCAGGTTGCAGTCAGACTCAGAATTAGAGCAGATTTGCCACCAGGAAAAAAACAAAACATGGTTTTATATTGGACACGGATCAGCCTTCCAAAACCTAGCACATTTCTGTGTTCACCTGCATTCTTTAAATCAAAGTATACCTTATATAACTACAAAGATATTAGTTGGCATAGGGACAATTCCTCGGGGAGCTTAATCACATGGAAATAGCCATGACTTATTGTAAATAGCTCCTTCAACGCGTGTAATTAACCCTGCCCTTTCCTTATATAATATATCCACCTCGGGACTCTCTGTAGGTCTGTTTGAATTACCTGTAGTAAGTATTTATATTTGTAGTACGCAAATAGCAAAATCCCTTTTTGGACACTTGTGACATTAGAACTGATACCTTATTAGTATTATTTATGTAGCGCCAACAAATTCCGCAGCGCTGTACAATGGGTTATTCATTTTGTGAGAATTTTGCATTGGAATTAGTTGCCACAATTTGTGATAAGTTATATTATTCATTAGACAGACCATTGCAGTGAATAGTAAAATGTAAACAAAACATTCCAAAATATTGGAAACAACAAATCACCAACTCGGTGATAGTCAGAGCTTGGCTATTTTATTTTCACAAATGTTCCGTTTGCTTTTCAATTCACTACATTTTTCTGTTTAGTGAATAGCCCCTCCTCCTTCTACAAGGGGAGCAATAAGCAGGGCTATCCCATTGGTTTCCATGGCGATTTCTCAATTCCTCTTTGTACAAATATTCTATAGAATATGATGGGGAATGTAATATTTTTTAAGGAACACTATAGGATCAGGAACATAAGCATGTATACCTAACATTTATTCAGTCTGCTGCTGCTGGCTCTGCCTCTGATCTGCCTCCTTGGCTTACATCATCAGTAGTTTTGAGCCAATCACAATGCCTTCCCACAGGAAAGCATTGGATTGGCTGAGCTTGTGAAGGAGGCTGATCCAGCATTAGCCAACAACAGCCCTGGCCAATCAGCATCTTCTCGTAGAGATGAATTGAATCAATGCATCTCTATGAGAAAAGTTCAGTGTCTGCATGCAGAGGGTGGAGACACTGAATTTGCAGCACTGCCCCAGGAGGCACCTCTAGCATCCATCTGAGAAGTGGCCACTGGAGGTATCCCTAGGCTGTAATGTAAACACTGCATTTTCTCTGAAAAGACAGTGTTTACTGCAAAAAGCCTGAAGGAAATGATTCTACTCGCCAGAACAAATTCAATAAGCAGTAGTTGTTCTGGTGACTATAGTGTCCCTTTAAGTCTCCTTGGCTGCTCTTGTTCAAACCTCCCAGCTGCATTATGGTCTCATTGGAGTAAAAATACAGGAATTTGCTTGTCTGCATACTGCAAAATTGCCAGATAGGACTTATTAAAGGGGCATTCTTGGCACCATAACCTCTTCAAATCATTGAAGTGGTTATGGTCCCTGGAGCAACCTGGCTCCAGCTCACAGTTGGTGAATGAGGGTCACCAGGCCCACAACCCAATCCAAATGGCAAAATTTGCTAAAAGGACCACTCTAGGCACCCAGACCACCTCAGCTTAATGAAGTTGTCTGGGTGCCAGGTCCAGCTAGGATTAACCCATTCTTTTATAAACATAGCAGTTTCAGAGAAACTGCTATGTTTATGAATGGGTTAAGCCTTCCCCCAAATCCTCTAGTGGCTGTCTCATTGACAGCTGCTAGAGGCGCTTGCGTGATTCTCACTGTGAAAATCACAGTGAGAGCACGCAAGCGTCCATAGGAAAGCATTAATAATGCTTTCCTATGCGACCGGCTGAATGCGCGCGCAGCTCTTGCCACGCGTGCGCCTTCAGCTGACGGGGAGGAACGGAGGAGGATCGGAGGCAGAGAGCTCCCCGCCCAGCGCTGGAAAAAGGTAAGTTTTAACCCCTTTCCCCCTTCCAGAGCCGGATGGGAGGGGGATCCTGAGGGTGGGGGCACCCTCAGGGCACTATAGTGCCAGGAAAATGAGTATGTTTTCCTGGCACTATAGTGGTCCTTAAAGCAGTTACATTTCACCTAGCCATACCAATTTGCACCAGCAGTGGGTACTGTGACAGGTGAAAGCATTCAGCACAGGTGACTGACCCAGTCCGCAAGTAACTCCTACCAGTCCAGGATTTAGGGATTACCCTGTTGTGTCTAAAGTGTTTTTTATTTATTTTCTAAAAACGTCTTAGACACAACTGGGTAAACCCTAAATCCTGGACTGGTAGGGGGTACTTGAAGACTGGGTTGGAACCCCTGAGTTCGACAGACTGACTGCTGTCTGTAGAAAACTCATGACTGCTGTCTAGATGTCTGTACCACCCACCCAATGCCCCCAGTCCCCCAATAACACACAGAGACCGTAATTACGTTGGGTAAGGGCATCGGCCACAGCTTTTATTAATTCATTTCCATGCCAGCAACATAATCATACTGTCAGCTGTTGGGGTGATTGCCCAACAGACAGGTCTATCCCCACAAACCATGAGTCCTGAGCAGCCTGCCTCCGCCATCAGCTCCCAACAGGCTGCGACTCCCCAAGCCTCCTCGGCAACTTCACCACTTCTGCCTGCGCTGGCCAGGACTCCCGCGTGCTGTGACAAAAACAAGAAAAAGACAACCAACAACAGGCACCAACAACAACCCACATTCCTGTCTAACTAAACGTCCTAGGGGAGGGAGGGCGGGAAAGTCAGGATCCCTGCACTTCCAAAGCTGACTGGTAAGTTCCCTCCCCTAACTGTCCTTATAACTGTCTTCATCTTAGCAACTATGTATCCATATATACCCCTCCCATCCCTTACTCCTTCAAGACTCCTTATCCTAGCCGCAGTCATGTCCCCCCTTCCTTGTCAGTCCAGGGAGGTGTCTGGAAACACAGAGGCTCACACTGGAAAGAGGGAAATTTACCAAAACCCCATTATATTTTACACCAAAGGCATATGGACAATACGCCTGGGTGTGTTAATGAATGCTACAAGATACCAAGAACATATTGTTTACTGAACAAACAACTTGGTGTACATTCCCATGTTTGGTAATGTTATTGAAGAAATGTTTGTTTACAGGTTAAACATGGAATGTATTCTAACATTGTCACAGAGAAGTGCCCCAGTCACCCTGATTTAGAGAACAGCGATCGTACAGGTTCCCCAGCTCCTTAATCTGATACAGAACAAGGCAAATACCGCACGGACGCTGGACAAAATGATAACATAGCTATGTTTCCAATGTATCTTTTTATTTTTTTTCCTCACAGAATGATTCAAAGAAATACTGAGGACAAATACTTCCTAAACAACAAACCTCATGACTCAATTTCAAATGCACATAAAATACCACAAAATTACATGAAGTGACCTTTGGACACTTTCTGTGGTCCCAGTTCGAGACTTCGAAATGCTTGAACAGATGTAGAGAGTTCAGACTATATTCACGGTAAGCACACTAAAGGATCACGCTGAGCTTTTAATTTTAATGGTAATAAAAATTAATCACAGTGTTCCTTTAATGATTTCGGTTTCAAACTGTTTCAACGCATTCTTTTTAAATAGGGTGTGGTTATTAGTTTGGATGGTTCTTTCACAGTTCGTCTCTGGCTTGGCTTCAGAAGCGTGAGGTGTTGAATCATTACAAGTTCAGAGTTGTCCTGAAACAAGATTCCTACGTTAAAACAGTAAACAGATTTTTTTTTATACACACTGGACAAATAAATTCAGTATTTACATTCAACTTAATGACATTTAGAAGTCTCAATAGCGTTTCGGTGATGGCTACACCTACAAGACTCTGGTGTAAACTCTGGATGGACGTTGACTGCGACAATAAATATCTAGATCTCACACACGTTTAATGAAGTGATAAAATTTATATTCCAAATATAATACTTTGTCGGAGAGACAACCCAGGCTGAAAATTATCCATACATCACATAGACAATACAGTCAAAATTATGCAAACAAAATAAAAGATACATTTCGTTACCTTTATTTACATTTTAAAGTTTCTTCCAGTTTTTACAGTGACCTCAGTCTGTATCAGGAAGTAGCTCAGCCAATCAGGAGACTCCCATTCAGTTCCATGGAGAAGGAAGGGGCAGCATAAAATCATGTCGCAAAGTGATGCAGTGAAAAAAGGACATCCGCAGGTGCTGTGACAAGTAATTCGACAGGTAGATGAGGATGTATAGTGCCCTCTGACATCAGGCACTGAAGGGGTCACAACTAGCTGTGTGAGTTTGGTAATTCAATAAGCCAGTCGGTGCATAAACACAGGGACAGAGGAACTCTTTGCCCTAGAACTAATGAGCATAAGTTGTTATGGTACTTGACTGTCCCAAAGTATACCTGTCATTAGTACGCTGACTAAAGATGGTTCTAGACTTTAGTCTTGGACAAAAGTTGAACATGAGGTCCCTGCTGACACTAGTAATGAAAAATGTGTAAACAATAATAAAATTAAGTGTTCAGGGTCCCTAGTGTCTAGTGGTGGGGACTCTTTCCTGTTTGCCCTCTGTATGTGGCACAGTTTCCAGCCAGTGAGTGTCGGCTGGATGCTTTGTCAATCCACCTTGCAGGGCTGCCATCATAACACTTATGGCCCCTCACACACACATATACATTCGAAACACACTCATGGAGATACATACACATACCCAGATACACACTGCCAGACAGACATACACTTTCACAGTGATTCTCAGTGTCAGACACACTGACAAACCTACACACGCATGCCTCACAGACACGCACAAGCAAGCATACACAAACTCACTGCCAAGCACGCAAATACTAATACAAACTAACAAGGGCCCAGTGACTGCAAGGAGTTAGGCTGCCGCCTAACTCACCTTATTAGAGAGCCTCCTATGATGCTGACTTCTTCTACATCTGTAGATTGCACTAGTGAATGCACAGATTTTAGAATAACTCTACTTAAAGGGGTACTATAGGCATCAAAACAACTTCAGGTTAAAGGGACACTAAAGGGTCAGGAACACAAACATTTATTCCTGACC